TAGTTCTAATTATAAGACCCCAATCCATTTTGTCTCTCATATTTATGTATTTTTTTCTAAGATAGTCTTTCTAATAATGATAGTTTTAGCCAATACACTTAATTAGCAAGGATATTTTAGGAATGACAACACTTATTTATTACAAATAACTAATTTAACTTACTTCTTTAATCTCCTCAAATTAATCAATTAGGTTTTATAATTAGTATCGGAGGTAGTAGCATTGAATGCGAGCATCTATTGAGACCTTGGCAGTTAATACTCTCTCGGTTCAGAATATAAACACGAGCAGGGAGGCTTTTTTACTTGGATACTCCAAACAGGAAAAAAAAAAATTAAAATTTTACATGGTTAATAATATTTACTAAAATACTATACCTAAAATCCTTCAAACCAGGAATAAGTTTAAAGATAAGCTAAAATGTATATTTAGTCCTTTAATTTTATGTAAAATTTTGGTTTGGTTCCTTAACTTTAAGAAGTATATTTTTAATTTTTTTAATTTTAAAATTATTAGTCTTAAATGATTTTTTTTATAATAATCATAGTTACTTTGAATATTAAATTTAATATTATAATATTTAGTAATATTTTATTAATATTTAAAAACTCAATATTATCTTTTTTTTAATAATTTTAAGATTAAAAAATTAAAAGTCTATTTTTTAAAGTTGAACGTAAGGAAGAATTAAAAGATTAAAAATACATTCTAACCTTTCGTACACGCGGCGAACGAGTTTGGATTCTTCTCTCCTTACGTCATCCCAATCATCTAACATGTTTATTTTTTACTGAGAGAAAAGTGAACTGGCTTATGGCGCGAACCAGTTCAGCTTTTCATCTCTCTTCCCCACAATACACTATTTGAAAACATCTCGCTCGATTTTACCTTCCCATGCGAAAATTATACCGTCTTGATAAAGAGAATCGAGGTTTTACCTCCCCCGCCCCCCCTCTTTACAGATTTCTTTTTATTAAAACTTTAATCTATCAGCAATTTCATAAAAGACATAAGAAAAAACAAAATACTCCTCCAATTTTTAATATAAATTTATTTAACTAATTAGATTATATTAAACAATGAGATATATTAGTTAATTATAAAAATTATGATACATTTTTCTTAAAACACTATAATTATTTTTTTTAATATCCCCCCAATCTCTTATTTGGTTATAGTTGAGGGAGTGTTAATAGGAATAATTTAAAAAAATTGATGAATATGACAAATATACCTTATATTTAGAATTAAAATTAACTCAATAATTAGGTCTTATATTAAAAATTAAAGGAGTATTTTTTTAACACAAGCTATCATTGGTGAATCGCATTGTGGTTAAAGGAGACTCATTGGATATTTTGTCATAACTTATTACTCGTTAGTGTTTGGACACCCGTAAAAGCATTTAGAAAATGCTCTCAAGCATAGGAGGACAAAATTTATCTCACATGTTTATTTTAAATTTCATAAAATCATTTCTAGAAGGCTAATTTAAACACCCACAGCTCACTATGTCTAACTATTTCTTTGGCCCTGTTTATCTTTTACTCTCTCAGTCCCATATTATAAGTAATATTAGAGCTTATCATGTAAATTAAAATGTTAGTTAAAATTAGTTAAAGATAATAAATGTGTAAAAATTAGAAGTTCTTTCACTAAAATACCTTTATTTATGAGGGAAAAGAGAGAATAATAAAATTATTATAATAAAAAGGATTATGAAAGGGAAAGAATGTGTGATGGAGAGATGATTGTTTGAGAAATGAAATAATAAATATATTGAGTATTAAAATAAATAATTAATGAGGGTAAAATAGAGAATTTACTATAAAAATTTAAGACAACTTATAAATGTTACTTATATTTAGAAACAAGAAAAAGACGGTAATTATTACTTATAATATGGGATGGAGGGAGTATTTATTACTCTCTTTGGTCCAACTTATAAGTTTAAAATTTATAAGAGATTTAATCTATTTTATAAGCTTTAATTTAAATTTATTTTAATATTTAATATATTTTTTTAATGTTGCCTTCATATATTTATTTCTTATCATATTTTTCACACATTTTATTTTATTATTTTTCTCATTTATTATAAAAAAATATTTTAAAATAAAATATATTTTTAACTAATTATTTATTATTCATAAATTAAAACTCAAAATAGGAAACAGAGGGGGTACTATTAACTGAAACTAAAAAAAAGTTTAAATCTCAGCTCTTTTTTAAAAGGGAGAATGACATTGAGGTCCCACAGAAGCCAAAATACAGCAAAAAGGTCCCCTGAAATGTCATAATGTTTCTGAAGTCCCAAAGGGACTTAGATGCAATTTTCAGAATCTGGAAATTACCCTCTTGTCCTGGCTTATGAGATTCGAAAATGCTGAAGGGAGATTAGAGCCTCTGTTTTTCGTTCGACCGGAAGAAACCTGAAATTGTGTTGCACCTTTGTGCTGCTAGAAATCCAGTGAAAACCCACCGCAGTGCTCAAATTCCCCTCATAACCCGCCGAAAATCGGAAGCCGAAGTGGTTGAATGCTCGTCGTGGTGGCTCTTTTGTTCGACCGAAGAAATTTGAATGGTCTCGGTGGCTTTGCGGTGCTGAAAAATCGGTGAAAACCCACCGTGGTGCTGAAAATCGACTCACAACCCGCCGGAAATAGTGACCCAAAGTCATTGAATGCTCGTCGTTGATATTGAGGAGAACAGCGAAGCAACAGCGATATTTCGTTTGGCTAATTTATATCACACTTGTAAGTACATTGCAAAATTAGAATATGAGCTGAATGATATTATTTATGATGAGTGGTAAATAATATGACCTGGTGTTAACTACCATATGTTGATGGATATATTGATTTGAAGGGCGCTACGACTTACCAGCAACTTTTTCATATTCTATGTTACACTGTAATTCTAGTTTAAACTAGATACAAGCCGGTGCAACTATCTCTCCTGGGTTACAGGAAGACAGTGTAAATATCCTCAATGGTTGACAGAAAAATGTAATTATGAACTGGGAAAAGATCTAAAAATGCTTTCTTCAAAGAATCAAGAAGTCACCATGATCTTCAAATACCAATCCAAGTTTTTCACGCACTATTCCTTCTACAAAGTATATGACAACTGACTAGATATTCTACATTGACCCTTAGCCCCATGGATTTTCATTTTTATGCACTATCCCTTTTGATATTGAGAAGGTATGAAGGGCAATTTTACTTGTTTTCAAACTTTTCAGAGAAAAATACTTCACTAATAAATTTGGTCTTTCTGTAATGTAATGATATGATATCTTATACTTCTTGCAATTGTGCTAGTCAGGTATACATCTGTTTATCATATAGAGTACTTCAATGATGAACAATGCAACATTCAATTTTAGGTCATATCGATGCCTTTCCTTTGACAATGTCATGGACGCAAGTCTCATCTTGGCAATGCAATCTTACTTCTTTAACATTTTCTAGTCTACAAAATTTTATCCTTGTTTTTTTTTAAAGAAAAAGTTGTTTATTAGTATTGTTTTGCGGTAAATTTGAATCTGCATCAGTCTTCTTCCTTGAGACCTACTAGTGAATTTCCACATCCTCTGTCCCGTGGAGAGCAACCAGCTGGATCCATATAGGGTGAGTTTCTTCAAAGAATCAAATGTCATCATGATCTTCAAATACCAATCCAAGTTTTTCGCACGCAATTCCTTCTTTAAAGTGTATGAAAACTGACCAGATATTCTACATTGACTGTTAGCCCCATTGGTTTTTATTTTTATTCAAATCCCCGTTTATGATTGGGAAGGTATGAAAGGCAATTCTACTTGTGGCAGAGGCACTGAAAATGCCAATACATTTTTTTTTCCTTACACAATGTCATGGACGCAAGTCCCATTTTGGTAGTGTAATCTTCTTTAACATTTTCTTGTCCACCTATTTTAACTGGAAACGAGTCATGCATAACTATTTCAGCTTTCATATAAGATTGTTGACTTATTGATTTGGCTGGGGAATACGAGACATCTAATGAAGTTTCATGTCATAGAATTTTGTTGTCCATGATTCTCCTTTTTTTTTTCTTTTTAATAAATCTTAATTTTCTATTGTTGTTCTTTGGTGCCAAATGAAAACACACTTTGTGCTATAATACTTAACATACAGAACTGCTGCATCAGATAAAAACAAATGGCAGATTATTATTAATGTGCATTAGACAAACCACAAAAGCAGCATATGTTGATGGATATATTGATTTGAAGGGTGCTACGACTTAGGAGAGTTACTTGATTTATTTTGATTTTTTCCCAGTTGAGGCTTGCCCTAAAACCTTCTGTGATTGTAAACAAAATATACTATTTTTTTGCCCCGAACTGTAACAACTCTATTTATACGGTGTTGGACCCTCACATTTGATTTAATTTGTTTCCATATTAGATGACTCTTGCGTAAGTTTCTGGTACTTCATTATTTTGTTTTGGCTTAAGAACCTTTTTAAGTGTTAGATTTTTTTTTCTCTGTTTGGTAGTGCTTTTAAATCAATTTTCTTTTGCAGGTTAAGAAGATGGGGAAGGATAGAACCAACAAAAGTGGACAAAGAAGCTGTAATTTTTCTGGTTATGCCTTGTTTACAGAGGAATTCCATAAGAAAAGCTCGAGGAAGTATGAATCACTTGAATCCAGGAATCAGCATGTGAGAAATGCTTGGGACAAATTATCTGAGCAACAAAAGAGGAATATTGTAAAAGGGCCAAGGAACAAAGAGCTCCCACAAAGTCCAAAAAGTATATAGTTCCTTTCTACACAAGATGTGCACCTAAACAGTTCATCCAAGTTTGCAAGCATATCAAAGAGAGGAAGGAACTAATGGACAGGCTAAAAAAGATAGGTTTTGATAAGTTGATTGAAGTATGTTGCCACACAATTCAAAGAGAATTGTGTGGAGAGTTTATGTGTGCATTCGACCTTCCAACAAAAAGTATTTCCATAAGAGGGAAGAGAAGGAAAATGAGGGCAAATGATGTGCATGACTTTATGGGGCTGCCAATAAAGGGAGAAGAGATTAAAGTAGCTGTGAGTGGTGAAGATGAAGTGTTCAAGCAATGGAGGGTTGTGTATGGTAATGTTCCATACAAGAAGATAGCGTCATTGTTGACTGAGGACAAACAAGATGAAAATTTTGAGATGCTGTTTGTCATGTATGCATTGGGAACATTGTTGTGTCCTAATGCCAGTATTTGTGTCACTGATTATTTGTTGAAGGTCATACTATCAACCAAGGATAGATTGGGTCGGTTTGATTGGTCATCTTATGTGCTGAATGAACTATACAAGGGCATTGGAGTGTACAAAAAACAATTAGAAAAAGGCAAGCTGACTGAAAAGAAGAAGAATGTGCCAGGTTGTCTATACTTCCTACAAGTAAGTGCTATTATAATTTGTATATTTCTGTTATCATTTCATTTTATGGTCTGAATGTTGTCAATGGCTGCTGTTAACTTATCATTCATGTGACATGCAGATGTATTGTCTACAAAAGTTTCCACTTGGGGAAACAAAAGCTTCACATGTTGAGCATGCTCTTGCATTTTGAGATGAAAAGAAAGTGCAGCAAAGAGTTAATATGGAGAAGGAGAGCGATCAAGGAATATTGCATCCGGCTAGTCAAGCCACCAGTTTTGATCCAGAAAATTTAACTCACCCGGTATGTGGACTTGGAGGCTTAATGTACATTTTTTTTTTCTGTTGCTTACATATTAAAGTTCTGAATTTTACTTGTATAGGAGATCAAGAAAACATATGCCCGATTAGTGTCAATGCTGGGAGAGGAGATGATGGCCCTTCAGTCAAGACTAATGAAGGATAGTGGCAGTGCAAGTGAAGAGGAGAAAGATGATGATGAAGAATCTAAATCAGAAGAGGAAAAAGGGGTCAAAGGAAGTGAATCGGAGGAAGAGGAAATTGAGGAGGAAGGAACTGAATCGGAAGAGGATAGAAATGAAGAAGAAGAACAAAAAGCTCAATCAAAAAAGAAGATGGGTGGAGAAGAAAGTGAAAGAGAAGAAGAGAATGAAGAGGTGAAAGAGCTACAAGAGGACAAAGAAGAGGAAGAACAAAAAAGAAGAGAAGAAGAGGATGAAGAGGACAAAGGAGAAGAAGAAGACAAAGAAGATGAAGAAGATGAAGAAGGAAATGCAGGAGAAGAAGAGAATGAAGAGGATGAAGAGGACAAGCAAGGGGAAGGGAAAATATATGTGAGGAAATCAAAAAGGGTCATAAGCAAGGGCAAGGCTCTTAGGTCTCCATTTCTGGAAATCAAAACTAAGCCTGGGAAAAAGAGAACAATGGATGATAGGCAAGCTTTATTTGACATGTGTACAGCAAGGTGTGCTGAAGAGGACCAAAAGCAGTAAGTATTATGTTTTGGTGTCCAAATTTATATTATGTTACAGAATTTACTGACTTCATAATTGTTTTATTTACATTAGATACTTTGTATCGATGTATAGATACTTTCTAACCCGTGGTGAGCTGCAATGTCTCCAACGTAGAAGATGGATAAACGATAGGGTAAGTCACATGTATATAGTTAACATTAGAATGAATTATTTGATGGTAAAGAGTTGTAATTTCTTTATATTGTCATTTCAGTTTATGACTATGGTGGCAAGGACATTTGTTGGAGATCAAAAGGATAAAGAGGGGAGAGTGAACCGGCATATATTTTCTGCAGATTTCATGCAAAAGATGGTAGCCAATCCTTTAAGATGGAAATGGGAGGACCATGAAAGGGAAATATTACCTAAATATATTGGGTACAATATAGGGGATTGCGATTTCCTTTTCGGTCCTACGTTATTTGAAAATCATTGGTTTTGTTATGTGTTGGAGACAAAGACCATGACCTTCTATGCCCTTGACTCCTTGGTTGATAGCATCACATTCTTAAGATTACAAGTAGAGGAAGAAGCAGCAAAGAAGAAGGGGAGTGAGCAGTAACATGATGCGAAGAAGAAAAAGAGGACGACTAAAGGGCACTTCAATCCCAAACACTTTATGGCAACACAGGCTGTGTGTATTTATTTGCTGCTGTCATACTTGTCAATGACTAGTCTTATAGTTGTCACTAGCAGTCTGCGTAGTTGTCACTGCATGCTGTGTTAGTTGTCACTGGATGCTGTGTTAGTTGTCATTGGATGCTGTGTTAGTTGTTATCACGTGCCCTGTTAGTTGTCACTGGATGCTGTGTTAGTTGTTATCACGTGCCCTGTTAGTTGTCACTGGATGCTGTGTTAGTTGTTATCACGTGCCCTGTTAGTTGTCACTGGATGCTGTGTTAGTTGTTATCACGTGCCCTGTTAGTTGTCACTGGATGCTATGTTAGTTGTCATCACATGCTGTGTTAGTTGTCACTGGATGCTGTGTTAGTTGTCATCACATGCTGTGTTAGTTGTCACTGGATGCTCAATTGACTAGATGTTGTGTTAGTTGTCACTGTATGCTCTGTTAGTTGTCACTGCATGCTCTGTTACTTGTCACTGGATGCTGTTACTTGTCATTGGATGCTCTGTCATTTCTCAGTGGATGCTCTGTTAGTTGTTAGTGGATGCTGTTTTTTGTTACTGGATGCTTTGTCCCTTGTCACTGGATGCTGTGTTACTTGTCACAATATGCTCTGTCCCTTGTCACTGGATGCTGTGTTGTTAGTAAAACCTTTTGATTATGTGTTTTTTTTTGCAGATGAACTATTTCCATACGATGTTGCGTGCTGTTAAGCCAGAATTGTTTGCCAATGAGGACAACATTGGCAACGAAGTGACATGGGCTAAAGTTTATGTGCAGAATGAGACGTGAGTGTAGTTGTTCTGTGTGATTGTGTTATGTTGTGTTTGTTCACAATAAAAATTGCATGCTGCTTACATATTGAATTTGCTTGGCAGTGATTCATGTGGAGTTCATGTCCTCTCTTGGCTACAAGAGTGGGATGGCACTGCTCGTGATGCTGCAGGATATACCATGCCACGATACTCCAATGATGAATTGCAAGAGTTGAAGGTTGGCTGTTTGTGGTGGTTGGTTACCCATCCCCATAATGAACATAGGGATGAAGTGATGTCACTGCTATCGGACTATAACAAGAGCAAGAGGAGGAGATAGAGGAGTCAATTAATTTTTTGTTATGTTATGCCAGGATGTGTTGTGAGATGATTGGCACCTAAGGGTGTGAGCCATGAGTGGCAATAGCTTAATGGTCAATAGGTCCTTTTGTAACAAACTGATCAAATTATGTTTATAATATTTTTTGTTATTTTATATCTTTATTGATATCGATAAATTTATGTAATATTAATAAGTAATATAACATGAGTTAATGACAAGTGATATAACAAGTTATGTAACCATTGACAAGTCACATTGCCACCAATGACAAGTCCGTGTGACACCATTGACAAGCCATGGTGCCACCAACGACAAGTCAGTGTGCTACTATTGACAAGCCATGGTGCCACCAACGACAAGTCAGTGTGCCACCAACGACAAGTCATAGTGCCACTATTGATAAGCCACATTGGCACCAATGACAAGTTCGTGTGACACCATTGACAAGCCATGGTGCCACCAATGACAAGTCAGTGTGCTACCATTGACAAGTCAGTGTGCCACCAATTGACAAGTCAGTGTGCCACCAACGACAAGTCAGTGTGCCACCATTGACAAGTCATAATTCCACTATTGATAAGCCACATTGGCACCAATGACAAGTTCGTGTGACACCATTGACAAGCCATGGTGCCACCAATGACAAGTCAGTGTGCTACCATTGACAAGTCATAACGCCACCATTGACAAGTTACATTGCCACCAATGACAAGTCCGTGTGCCACCATTGACAAGCCATAGTGCCACCAACGACAAGTCAGTGTGCTACCATTGACAAGTCACAATGCCACCATTGACAAGTCACATTGCCACCAATGACAAGTCCGTGTGCCACCAACGACAAGTCATAGTGCCACCATTGACAAGTCACAGGGCCACCATTGACAAGTCTTAGTGCCACCATTGACAGGTCTAAGTGTCATGATTGACAAGTCACTATGCTACCATTGACAAGTCACAGTGCTACCATTGACACTTTATTAATAATGATTATATATGACAATATAACCAAAAATATAATATGACACAGTGATTGAGAATATCATATGTTACTAAAACAAGTTATGTAACTTGAATTCATATTGTTGACAACTTACATCAGCAAATTAATTGACAAGTGACAGTGCTCCGTTGACAAGTCATAACAGGTCTAATAACAATACAAGGTGCAGGTAATGACAACTTAAATGACAGCAAAATCTAACATGCCAATTCATAGTCAACTTTCATTTACACCTTCATATACATGAAACTACACTTAATTCACAACCCATCCCAAAAAAACACAGGGGTTGCATGTAATTACGAGAAACTAACTATTGGTGTGTATCCATTTACAAAAAATTCCCTTCACACCATTTACAAAATATTCCCTTCACATTCATATACAAAAAATAGCTGATTTCATTATGTTCTCAGATGGGATTTAGGTTCTTGCATGTCTTGGCAGTGTGTCCAAGCTCTTTGCATCTTCCACAGTGATAAACCTGCATCAAGAATCACGCAACTGTCATTGACAAGTCAAGGAGCTATATTAACAACTGTCGCGGCACGCATTGACAACTATCGCGGCTTGATTGACAACACAATATCCCATTTCGTACTAAGGGTTTCCACCCACAGTAACCTTCATCTTTTTCTTCCTTTGCCACTGAACTAGCATCAGAACATAGCAAAACCACCCACAAGCAACTCAAAAACAGAGCACCCATGATTATCCTACACACCCAACTTAAATCACCAACACACACCAACCAAAAACACAGCTTTTCTATTGATTAACTTGTGAATCCCATTTCCAAAACCACCCACAAACAACCCAAAAACACAAAAACGATTTTTTGATTTCCCATTTCCAAATAAAACCACAATCTGTCAAGAAAGGTAGAAGAGAAGAGGAAAGAAAGTTTCACACCTGAAAGTTTGTGGAGATTCACATGGAAGCTCTTTGGAGTTCACTAATGGTAATAGAGAGGATATTTCATCATCAATGGCTCATTCCCTCTTTCCCAATGTCTTCTTTCTCAAGCATATTGCGCGGGAACTCTCACCCAAATGAATTTCTGCTTCTTCGTTTCTGATGGCTTAGGGTAGGGCAAGAGGGTAATTTCCAGATTCTGAAAATTGCATCTAAGTCCCTTTGGGACTTCAGAAACATTATGACATTTCAGGGGACCTTTTTGCTGTATTTTGGCTTCTGTGGGACCTCAATGTCATTCTTCCTTTTTAAAATTTGGAGAGAGAAGTGAGGGAAGAAATGCTTGTAGTGTTTTGATCAAAGTGTCAGAGTGGACGTGTCCGCTAAGAATCCCTAGACGGATTGATTGATTGAGAGAGAGGAATGAGGGGAGGTGGCCAAGTGGGACCAGGAGAGACGACCTCATGGCACGCTCTCACATGGGTTGCTGCTTTCTTTTGCACTGCATAATTCAGTAATCCCAGTATTTCTTTTTACTTGGAAAATTCCCCAAGGAAAACCTGAAATTAGTTTTTTTTAAAAAAAAAAAATTAGCCACATGATGCTTTAAAATGATGGGGAAGAAAGCAAATCAAAATCAAAATTTTAAAATTCAAGTAAAATGATAAAAATGCACCTTTATTAATTCTCTTAAAAAATATATTGTTAATTTTAAATTGATATTTATAATTTCACAATCAAAATTTGTTATATCCAAATGAATTGTTGTGTTATTTTGCATGTTATGTATTAGAAAAAATGTGTCATTAATCTTAAATTGAGATTTTTTATTTCACAATCAGAATTTATTGTTTCAGATGAATTGTTATTCACAATAGAGTATTTTTGTCATTTTCCTTGAATTGAAAAATAGTAATTTCAGGATTTTTTTAAAAGAATTTTCCCAACCTTTTAATTAAATAACTTATCTAGTTTATATAATTTTTGGTTCTTCAAGTTTATATTTATTTTGATTTTAGACTCTCAAGTTTCAAATCATAAATTTAATAATTCAAATTTTTATTAAATTATAGGGATTAATATTTTTACAAAAAACTTGAAGAACTAAAAATCTATAATTTACACTAAAAAAAAATCTTATATTTAAGATTGAAAGAGTATTAAACAGCAACGTGTCGGAAATCTTGCGAATTCAACCTCAATGAATTTATTCCCATATCGCATATTGCACAAACTCCCTCTTTGAAGTTCAAAAACCCACGCCGCGCAACTACTTCCTTATGACTCCTAGAGGTTGTATCAGTTCAGATCAGCAGCATTATGAAGGTTGGAATTAAAATTTATTAAATTAATTCGAATTTGCGTCCTGTTCATCAGCCCATTCTGTTCACCTCTATTTTTCAAGTGGTGAAACCGAGTAATGTGCAAATCCAAACAATTCATGTGTTGGAGAAAAACCCTCGCCAAATTTGATGCATTTGAAGCAAAACACTTTATACAGATAGTAAGCGAAGCTGAACAGAAGAACACATAGGAATATGGGAAAATCCAAAAAAAAAAACTCTTGTAATATAGAAAATTTTTGATTGGGTTTTAGAATTATACAAATGACAGGAAGGGTTAATAATCCAACTTGTCATTTGTAAAATCAAGAAGAATTAACAACTTTATTCTCGCTAAGCAAAAACGAATAGTTATTCTCTAAATAAATATAGATAATGCTTACACTATTCTAGTGATTACATGATTAGTTGTAGTTAATAATAAGGTACCTAACTACGAAAAAGTGAATAGTTATTTTCTACATGAATCTATGTAACGCCTAAATTCTTATAGTAATTCTTTAAATCATTATAGTAAATGAATACAAATAAGGGTAAAGTTATTAATTCTTCTTAATTTTACAAATAACAGAATGAGTCATTAATCCTTTCTGTCATTTATATAATTTTAGGACCTAATTTGAAATTCTTTATATTTCAAGAGTTTTTTTTTTTGGATTTTTCCTAGGAATATCTAATGGACCTGGGAATAGTAAAAAATGCGACAATGACAGTCGTGAGTTTTGGAGGGCTCTTGAAATGTCCAGAAGGAGGGAGGCTGTGTCGCCGCATTTATATTTTTTAGGGATAAATTTGTCTTTCACACATTTAAGCGGGCAAAGGAAAAGTGGCTCCGCCAAATTGTTCCAATGAAAAATGTCATCTCCATGGAAAATATTTTCCCACCGGAACAGCATACCAAACTTGTCTTAGTTGTTGGCTGCACCACCCAAATTCTTTGAAAATTCAGCTGATCTTTCAACTCTTTTATAATACTATGTAAATCTTGTTAATGGCAGCATTTGCAAAAAAACAATATATCCTAGTCATGTTTCACAAACATTATTCTTAAAAGCTATTCTGTAACTACCGACAAAATAAAATATGATATTCTCTAAGATTAAACAGATTGTTTTTTTACAAGAACAGAATGAGCTGAACCACAAAAGATAGAAGAACTTATCTAAACAAAATACTAAAGAAGAAAAGAGAATTGCTCGAAAGCTTATAGCTCGGTGTGTCCTCTAAACTTTGGTTTCATACTCTTTTTATAGACTGCGGATCACAATACCAAAGAACCTTTTTCTCTCTTAAGTTACATGCCAAAGAACCTTAGCCAGGATAATTCAATTGCTACTGCCCCTTTTTGTTTTAAAAAAAACAACTATTAAAACCATACAGTTTAACATGTTTGTTATATTTAATTAAAAATAAAAAATATATATTTAATTATATTTTTGTTTATAACGACTAAAGAAAATACATGAGAGATAAAAAAGTGACAAATTACTGTAGAGAAATGATAAGTAAAAATTTATTATAGTGAGATAATAAGTGAGATATATTTAAAGAGGATAAAAATAGAAAGACAAGTTTAAAAATTCAAATAAAAAATTTGTTTTTTATATTTAGAAATACCATTATAAGAGAAAATATTTCTTATACAAAGAAGGCCAAAATACATATAATTCCCTTTAATTTTAGCTCTGTTGCATATAACTCCATTTTTAAAAGTTTAAAAACCACATCCTTAACTTATATAGTTTGACATTTAACCTTTTACCATTAAAACGGTCATTAAATCTAACGGTATAGATGCGAGATTTCATGAAAAGGCCAAATACGCTTTTAAACCCTATATTTATTTCCATCTATATATTTTCATGCCCATCTCCATTTTATCAACTTCCTTATACACAACAAAGGCACCACTTTTAATTAATTTTTCAGAACTAGTAGTTAATCATTAAATCTGTTTTAAATATCCATTTCCATTTGCATTTTGTCAAAGGGATTGACGCATGGAGAAATAATCTTCAAGACTAGTTCCACTCGGAGAAACATATATACAGTGCAAGAGAATAACAAATATTCATCTTGCATATAAATAGAAAATCCAAATAAAAGGCGCATGCAAGTACAAATATAAAATATTACAAATTGACAAGTTTGCTTCTGAAATAAATAAGCGTCTGCGTCCATATATTTACTACTCAAACATCAAAATACATGCAAGGGGCATTGTACTAGCACTGGGAAAACGGGCCGGCCCGGCCCTGTAGGGCCAGCCCGTTTAAGTCTGAGTTTAAAAAATAAGTGTTTTTTTCAAGCCCGGCCCGTGAGATGAAGGGTTTGGGCTAGCCCGCGGGCTTTTGGTCCGTTTAACTAAAATGTAATTTTTTTTTATTTTTTACATATTTTATTGAAATAGTAAAAATAAAACAATAAAATTACTAATAAAATGTATAAATATAAATAAAATTAAGCCACAAACATAAATATTATCATGTATAAACATTTATCATAGTGCAATAAAGTCTATTAAATAAATAAACTAAATAGAGAACAGACATAAACAAATAAATAAGTATTAAGTTCAGTAAATAATTATAATGTGGATAATCTAGTTTAATTATAAATAATTAATAAAAAATTTTAACTAACAAACATAGTATACATAAAGAATAATCATTCATCCTACCAACAAAAAAGAAAAGAATCCATCATCTATAGTTCTAAAATTTGTTTCTAACTATAAAAATGATATAGATCTTTATTTTAATTCAAAAGATTCTTTAATTAATTCTATTTCAAGCATAAACAATATGGGAGAATGACAAATAAAGACCCCTAAAAATTACATATACAATATTTTAACAAGTTTTGACAACTTATAAATAACAATCTATTTTTATGAATATACATAGTTTTAAATCTTGTAATTTTCATATTTTTTTAGTTATTTTTCCAACAACTATAGTGATTCTTTTTTCTTTTTTTATAAATGCTATCTGTGTGAGTTATTGGGGTAAGTGAAACTAAAAGTGTGCTATGTGTAAAATGTTTGAATTTTATTTTTTAAGTTAAGAAAAAAATACAAAAATTTTAAAAAAATTGTTAGCGAGCTTAAACGTAGGGCCGGTCCTTTTAAGCCCGACTTTTCTTTGAAACTTTAAAATACAAGCCCGGTCTTCGACTTAAAAGAGCTTAAACGGGCCGGCCTGACGGGCCCGACCCGTTTTCCCTACTCTAATTGTACATTGCAATCTAACAAAGTGGAGTTCTTTTTTTTTTTTTTTGGGTCAAAAGCAAAGTGGAGTTCACACGCAACATTCCCTCTAATATTTTGTTAATGCTGGTTCACAGTAAAAACATGTCAATTAGATCACGTGTTTTTTAAAGACAAACATGAGCACTGAGCTAGAAGAAAGAAAATGTCTATTGAATTACTACCTCTAGTGTTTAATATAAGACATATTTAACTAATTTTAAAAAATTAATAAAATTAAATAAATTATTTTAACATATTATATTTATTATTTTTCTTCAAATTAATTTGTTCAACTTATAAATTGATATATAATTTAATGATATATATAATTTTTTTTTACAAAGATCACTAACATATGTTATAAATAAGTGATGTTTTAGTTTTCTTAAATTTTTTTAAATTAATCAATTGTGTCTTATATTAAAAGAAAAATTAATATGCCAGTCTCCATGGTTTCATCAAATTTTGAAATGAGGCCTTATATTTTTTTCCCCCTTGTTATCCTATGCTTGTTGTTTGCACAGTTTTAATCTCCTTCCATTATAACACCGTTACTTTCAGGGTGATAAGCGCTAGCATGTCTTCTCTCGACACGGCCATCTCCTTCCCCCCTCAGTTGGAACTGGTGCAGAAGAAAGAGAGGCCCAAGCTAGCTAGCACTCGGAGCTCGGCTCAGAGCCACGACACTACTCACTTGTCCAGCTCAAACTTCAGCTGGGCATTCCTCGACTCCCTTATGTGCATGTTCTTTCCTCCTTCACTTCTCCCTGGTGTTGTCGCCGTCAACCGTCGACTTGACATCCCTGACCGAGTTACTCTGCTGCCTCGGACACTTGCTGCTCGACCACGAACCCTTTTGATTCACTTGACGATTGTGACTTCAGAGCCTTCACCAGCTGATTCGGTTTCGCTCTTGCCATCCCCCGCATGTATTTGTCGTCATCATACATATGATAGCTGAGATCTACACCAGAAAATACATGTCTGTTTTGTTATTGGTTCCTTCTAGATGACACATAAACATGGAGAGAGATGAAGAGGGAAGGATATGAATGTTTTTTTGTTACTCTTCATGTATATAAAATTTGGAGAGAGGATAATCATAAAATGACTAGCAGAAAAACAGAACAAGAAAACCAAAAATGTATTTCAGGAATCGAAAGGATATTTCAGGTATATTAGTTTTCTTTGTATTAAAAATCGAAGGTAATATTAATGGATTCATCAACTTCTCACAAATCAATATATACTGTATAAATGTGAAAGGTAGAAAATCTTGATGAATTCTACTTAATACACATCCTCCCTTACTTATAAACTTTAAATTTAAATTTGAAAAGACATGTGGTTTATTTATAAATTTTAATTTAATATTTATTTTAATATTTAATATATTTTTTCTGATTTTAGTTTTAACTATTTATTCTCTTTCTTTTTTTATATACTTTCTTATCACTTTTTATATATTTTTTTTATAACATTATATTTATATCATAAAAATACTAATATGCTCCTATCCCAAATATTCACGTCGTAGAAATTAGTTTAGATACTCGTTACTTTTGATGAACACCCAAATTTATTAACAAATTTAATTTCTATTATCTAAAATAATTTTTAATGGGTACAAAATGAAAAATAAAAAAAATCTGTAAACTATTATGTTTTTTAAAAATAATTTTTATTTCAAAACAGTTAATTAAAAATATTAAATTACTAACAAAATGTTAATTGAGATGATAATTAATGAAAGAATGTAAGTTCAAATTTTGAACACCTAAAGTCAAACGGGGAAAAAAAAAATTTGAACGGTTTATATCATGTCTGACGTTAAGTGACCGCCGGTGAGGAACGCCAAAACCGGGTCTCCAGATACAGAACCACCGTCCACCAGCTCCAAAGGTTATAGCCGCCATCTTCCATTGCTGGAAATCACAATCTAACAGCCACAATTTTATCGTACCCTTGCTTGTCATCTAACTTTTCAATGGCATCTATTAGCACCAGATTCAACCAAGAAATCTTGCAACGAGTCCCAGCGAGAACAGAAAAATAAATCGATGAAGAAAAACCGGTACCCAAAAATCTAATATCCAAACGCGAACGAGGCAGAGCCAGAAATCGATGTTCCACTCAAATCCTCCATGGAAGCAGACAAGGAAAACCAAAAATCAATGTTCCTCATCATCAATCTAGCTCCAACTTGCAAAGATGCGATCTTCACTAGCAGAGCCAGAAATCGATGATGAAACAGAAAGCTCATAAGACAATGAATTCGTCGCCGGAAAAAAAGAACAAAATGGAGAAGGCGAAGATGAAGTGGGGAAGAAGACGAAGGGGGACATCCGTGGAGAGGATGAGTCGCCCTCCCATCTCAGTGCTCACCAACGGTGGGTTCAAAGATCACTTGCGGTGTGGGAGAAGATTGCCGGTTGGGGGGGGGGGGAGAACCGTATGAATCGCTTGCCGTCGCCAGTGCTGGAGGTCGCCGTTCAGGATGAGGTCAGTGATGATGCTATGGAGATGGCGTCGGTGGGTCGAAAAATTAAAAAATGAGAAGGGTAAAAATAGAATTTCATGAAACTCTCTCGAATACCGTGTGATATGAAAGCCTATTCCACAGGCCCACTGTACTTGTACCAAGCACCTCGTCAGAAAAAATAATTGTACCGAACAACTTTGAGCACGGAATTTAATTTAATTTTCGTTTTTGTTTGGAGGAACTTATACAGTGGACCAGAGGGAATAATTATTTGAAGGGAGCCAACTCAACGGCGCACAATGAAGCTTCCTCGTTTCTTCTTCCCATACACAAGTCTTTCTGGAACCTTTTGTTTCATTTCATTCACTCCTTTGCACAAGCTGTATAAGCCTTAAATCTCTCTCTCTCCTCTGGTCTTTATCGTCAATTAGCAAATGCACTGGTAACTTTTTGCTTTACCTACACTTTTCCCCCCTTAATTAACGGTTTCTTCTTCTTCCTCGGAAAGACACGATTAATCCATCGTTTCAAGAGTCCAATATCTTGGAAGCGGATAAATGACAGAAGATTCTGTGGATCTGATGAATCAGCCTCTGAGCCAGCAAGGTAACCCATTTATCCTTTCACTTTCTGCGGGAAGATATTTGATATCTTGTGCTCAAAAAAATAAAAGATGGGTATCAAAAAGAAATCAAAGATGGACATCTTGATGGACACGAAAGAAATTAGTCCCTACCCAAAAATAATCCATATTTTATTTTCTCTTTTTCTTTTTTAATTCTTACCTGGCATTCAAAAGCCGATTTCGAAGCCAGAATCGACCCCTCCAGCTACCCCTTGCTGCAAACTTAGATTTTTGTTATTAAACTTTTTTTTTATAAACCAGATTGATTGTGTTAATTTTTTTTCCTGATTCGGTGAAACCTTATGATTTTAAAAATATTTTATGATATAAAAGATAAGTATACGAGTAAAATTTTATTTTAATTTATGAAATTTATAAAAAAAACACTTTTTTTAAGTGCTTTTTGGTTTCCAGACACCACAAATTTGAAATATATATATAATGTCATTTTGAATTTTAAGAAACGGTTAGGATTGGGTATGTAACTAAAAAAATAAGATCAATGTATCAAAAAATAAGATCAAAGTGTTAGATTCACCATAAAAAAATTAGGATGTTAGATGCAGTTAAAAAATAAGATTTGGTGTAGGATATATCTTAACCTTTTAAGATATAGCAGTCTATTACATGCGAGCATGTCTGTTGTATCATGAGTGATTTAATTTATGCGCAAACATTCCGTCAATGGATTTTTGTTTGAATGTTACCCTAGATGAGGTGGCACTCTCAAAGCATATTAGAATTTTTCTCTATATAAATATTTTTGTACATATTATTTAAATTATATCATTTTAATCATAACCAACGTGATATTGAGTTGACGTTATTTGATTGACTGACACTTTGAGGGTCCGTTTGGATCAACGATTGGAAAAGTAGCTTATTGAAAAAGTAGCTTATAGAGAAGTAAAATTAAAAAAAGCTAAATTGGATAAGCTGAATTGTGTTTGGATTGGAGTTCAGAAAAGTTAGTTTGCAAAAATGAGATTGGTAAAAAGTTGTTTGGATGGTGGTTGAGTAAAAGTAAGTTTGGTTGTAAAATGACCAAAATGGATATGAGTTTTAATAAATAATGAAACATGATTAAAAAAAATGATTTTACATTTGATACTTTACTTTGTTTCACAATAATTTTTTTCGGTGAGGTGTTTCACAATAATTTTGAATTATTCAAGTTAAATATTAATAGTTAAAATTTTATATAAAATAATAATTTTATAAAATATTAAAAAAATTTTATTCCTTTTTAATTATACTTTTAATGATTTGTTTTTAATGTTTTATAAAACTATTACAATTATACATGGGAAATAAAAAATAAATTTGATTATTAAAATTTTATATTAAATAGTTTAAATTTATTTATAATTTTACACAATAAGAATAATAATTTTATCAAATGTAAAACGTTAAATCCAGCTGTTAAATTTTTAACAGAAAAAATGAGAGGAAAAGGGAAGAAAAATAGAGGTCCTGTGTCGGTCCTGGGTGAGAGCTCTGGTAAAAAAAACCAAAGTGAAAGACGGAATAACGCAAGAAGTGAGAGAAAAATAAATCTGACACACCCATAAGCTCTTCATGGCTCAGATAAGCTCCTCTTCTTAGCTTAATTTTAAAAGCCCGGTCATTCAGCTTATAAGAGAGAAGCTCAGTGTATTATAAGCCCCCCCAAACATTGGGTAGTTTTCCAATCGGGCTTTTGTTGAAAAAAAGCTACTTATGGGCTAAATTAAGCCCTCCCAAACAGGCACTGAATTATTGTTTTGACTTGTTGTTGGTTAATAATCAATCCAATTTTCAATATTTTGGATTTTTTTCACTAGCGCGATATTTTGAATTTCTTAAATTACAAAATCACTTTTTTTTTTGGCCAAACGAAATTACTTTTCAAACTTACAAAATATTGAAGGAAAACTACTGATATGTGCGCGTCCTCGGCCCCAAATAAAACATTGTGGGTCCGTTATAGGGCATGGTGATGTATGTGGGATTCTCCTTTGGGAAAACTGTATTACACTTCCATCCAAAAAAAATAAATATAAAAAAGTTTCTTAAAGTTATTAAATTAATATAAAATTTTAAGGAATTTGTTTGGAAGAGATTTCATTTATTCAATTATGAAACTGTCTTCATCTTTTCTTTTTTAAATATGTCTTGACTAAATCGTTAACAAATTAAGATGTAACAACTAATCACTATCATGATAGGCATTAATAATATATTTTCTTTGTACATCACATAAGCATATTTAACTTCAAATCCATGTTATGCACTGAAAACATATATTATTAATACTTGTCGCGATAATTGTTAATTGTTGCATTTTAAGTTATTTATAACTGCCTCTTCAGTTGTCAATGCTTACTGTTAAGCGCTGAGAAAATGTGTAGTTAATACTTATCATGATGATTGTTAATTGTCACATCTTAAATTATTAGTGACTGTCTTTACAGTTGTTAATAAATACGGATAAAAAAACCTATTAAGTTGAAAAGAATATAAGGATAGTTTAGTAATTAAATAGGTAGAATCGTGAGATATTTTGTGACTTCAAATTTATATTAATTTGATGTTTTTTTTAAAAAAATTGTATTAATTTCTCTTAACAGGGATTTTAATACAATTTTTCTTTCTTCTTTTTTCAAGCAAAATGCGCGAATGATATGGTAGGAAAAGGAAGATATTTCGTGATTTTGCTAAAATAAAAGTGCTAAAACTTTGATTTTTGTATTTAGGGTTGTTTGGATTAGCTGTTAAAGAATAACCTCTAAAAAAAACATTGATAAAAAGTTATTTTAAGAATATATTTTAAAAGAATAGATTTTGTGAAAAATATGATTTTGATAAAATGAGAATGTTTAGATGGTTATTATCACCATTACTTTTTTTTTTTCAAGTGCAAATTATTAAATAAGACATAAATTAAGGTGATAATAACATAAAAATTTTTTTAATTAATAATCTTATTTAAAGTACAACATTAGTAAATAATATATTTTTGTTTTAACAAATGATATGTGATGAATATAATTAATTAATAATTAATCTGTGTATATATATATATGAAATATAAGATTAAACATATTTTTAGAAAAATGATAATTTCATCTAAAAAATTTTAAACACCATTTGTCATAATATTTTTGAAAAATTGAATAAATATATGTAAGTCCAATTTATTATTTATATAATTAATATATGTGTGCATCTATCTATAAAACATAAGATTAAATATATCTGAATATCCCAAATCATGGTTTTATATTTCCAAAAGCAAAAAGAAATGCACCTATGAAAAACCATATTTTTCAATACAAAAGTGATTTTACAAAAAAAAACTATGGTGTTTGGATGGTTTTCTCAAAACCATGGTTTTGAGATTTATCTAAACACCAACACAAAATTCTATGTGAAAATGATTAGTAGGAGATGTTTGGATTAGCTTTTAGAGAATAGATTCTAGAGAAAAGTTATAAAAATTTATTTTGAGTAGAGATAGAAGTATGGATATTATGAAAAAGTGATTTTAATCAAATGAAAATGTTTGGATGGTTATTATTAAAATCACTTTTTTTTCATGTGCAAATTGCTAAAAAATGATATAAGTTAATGTGATAATTACATAGAATATTGTTGCTTAAAGCAATAATTCAGTAAATAATATATTTTTCCAACATAGTAATATATAAAAAATATAATTAATTAATAATTAATATGCATATATATATATAAGTGCCATAATATTTTTAGGAAAATTGAATCAGCATAGGTAAGACAAATTTAATGTTTATATAATTAATTGATTAATGATTAATAAGTGTGTTTATATATGTTTATAAAATATTAGATTAAATATATTTTCAAAAAACTACAATTCCATCTTAAAGATTTTCTATGCCTAGGCCACGATTTTTCTATTTCAAAACGTATAAAAATTTCACTTTTGAAAAGTCCTGGTTTTTCATCCCAAAACCATGATCTCCAATCAAAATTGATTTTGTCAAAATTGATTTTTTTTTTAATAGAAGCCTAACACCCCAGTGAACTAAATTTTATGGTCATTCATGATAAATATTAACCAGTGTTTTTGTTATTTAAAATATTGTAGGCAATGGATATGAAGTGTTCTTGAGTTTTTGTAGAGGCGAAGAGACTCCAGAATCTTTCCCTTCCTGTCTCTATTCATCTCTGAGCAAAAAAGGATATTCTGTTTTCAAAGATGATATATCAATTGAACTCTTGCAAAGTGTTCGATGTCCTAAAATTTTCATCATCATCTTCTCTAAAGACTATGCTAGTTCTCGAATGTGCCTCGAGGAACTCACAAAAATCATGAAGTTTCGCAGCATGCCATATGATCATGTAGTTCTTCCCATATTCTATGACGTGAGTCAGTCTGAAATTTGTAATCAAGAATCAATTAAAGGTCGCATACAAAAAGTTTCACCCACTGAAGAGGAGGTTTCAAGGTGGAGGAGAGCTCTTCGTGAAGCTGCGAGGAACGTTCCTGGGATTCATATATCTGATTACATCAAGTTTGGGTAATTTATTTTTCCTTTTGTTTTATGTTCTATTTATTTTCAATGTTTCTAATATATTGCGTGCGTGTGTGAGAGAGTAGTACAACTTTTTTGGCAATCCATAACAATTAGTTATTAAAAGATAAGGTTGATATTAATTCTTAATAATAATAATTATTATATAAAGCAGGTTTATATTAGGCTTTAATATATGTACTCCCTACTCATATAAAAATGCTTTTTCCCTATAAATATTTTGAAGTTAAAACCTATAACACATAGTCTAGTATCACAATAAGTGTGACAAACTTTTAACGGACAACAAATTTAGGATGCAGGACACGCATAATTCCCTTCTATTCATGCTATATGCAGTGGAGCCTTATAATTTATGTAACTCGATTAACATATATAGAACTATGATTTTAAGAATTGACTTGTATTATTTTAATTCGGCGAAGGCGAGAATGTGATAAAATTAACAACGCTATTATGTGTTTATTATTTGCAGTCAGGTTAATTAATCAGTGCTTCCTTTTCTGCTATTCTTTTTTCATAATTCACAGCTATCTACATGATGAGTATGTTATGGAGGATATTATCTATTATGCTGATGATTTTTTGAAGACATTGGATAAGGTGTTCCCTGTTGGAGTGGATTCTCGTGCTCAGGATGTGATTTCAATGCTTCATAACCATAAATCAAAACGTGTTGTCTTCATAGGCATATGGGGAATGAGGGGTATAGGCAAAACAACTATTGCCAAAGCTGTCTTTAACCACATTCAGTGCGCATTTGAGAGTACATGTTTTCTTCCAAATGTTGGGGAACAATCAGAGAGGAAAGTCGACCTTGTTTCAGTAATATGTAAAGCAACAGATATGAGAATAAAGAGCACTGAATCAAGAACCCTTGACTTGAATGAAAGACCTTGCCAAAAGAAGGTACTTCTTGGGCTTGACGATGTGAATCAGTTGGAGCAACTAAATACTTTATGTGGAAGTCGTGAACAGTTTGGTGAAGGGAGTATAATCATCATTACAACGAGCGATTTATATCTACTTAATGCCTTTCAAGTGGATGATATATATTGCATGAAACTTTTAAGCGACGAAGAGTCTCTTCAACTTCTCAGTTGGCATGCATTTCAACAAGCATACCCTAAAGGAGAATTCATCGATGCTTGCAAAGAAGTGGTTGTTTATGCTGAGGGACTACCACTGGCTCTCACTACAGACATTGACTCTATTTTGAATGAGGAGGAATTGGACCAACGGGAATCCATATTGTGGAATATGAATAGAGCTCTCCATCCTGTTATATACAACAAACTAAGGCTTAGCTTTGACTATTTAAATGCTGAAGAGAAAGAAATATTTCTAAATATAGTTTTATTCCATATTGGGAGGGACATGGATGATGTGATCCAAAAGCTGAATGCCCATGGAAGCAATGCTCATATTAGGATACGAGTCCTGGAGGATCGAGGACTTGTAACCATTGATAACAACAAATTTAGAATGCATAATCTATTGCAGGTCATGGGAAGGCAAATAGTCCGTGAGACTTCACAAAGTGAGCTTGAAGGTAGGTTATGGTTTTGTAGGGATGCTTTATGTGCTTCATGTATTATATCAACGTGCCTGTATCAATGATAGTTAATATTATTATCCATAATATTTCTGACATTTTATAATCTTATATTATAAAAATGTTTATATTGTAATAATATTTTAATTATATTAATTTAAATAGCATTTTAATTTATTAATATTCTGATTTTTTGAAATGTATTATTCAGCTTATAGGTATGAGGTGTTTTTGAGTTTTAGAGGTGATACTCGGAATAATTTTACTTCACACCTCTATGCGGCTCTATGTAATGCTGGCATAACTGTTTTCAAAGATGATGTTGAGCTTGCCAAAGGAAACTATATCAAAACGGAACTCTTGCAAGCAATTGGAAGTTCAAAAATTGCAATCATCATCTTCTCTGATGAATATTCTGGATCTAAATGGTGTTTGGAGGAATTGTCAATGATCATGGAGCTTCATGACTTAAATAATAGGGTGGTTCTACCTGTGTTTTACCATGTTGATCCATCAGAAATTCGTCATCAAACTTCCAATTTTGGAAAAGCATTTGAATATCTTATACAAAAAATTTCACGATTAAACAATCAAATTTCACGATTTAAAGATCAAGTTTTAGAGTGGAGGAAAGCCCTTACTAAGGCTGGGAGTCTTGCTGGGACAGTTGTACTTAGTTCCAGGTAATTTTTTACTCTTTATTTACTTTTAATTGAAACACTTGATATGTGTTTGTTATTCGAAATATGACTCACTTCTGTTTATTCCCTCCTAGGCACAGTCTTACAAGTTACATATATTGTAAAATTCTCAAGTCTGATATGGCATATGCATTGTTTGGCAGTGAAATAATGAGTGTTTATTCATAATATTTCCTTTTCTCCAAACAAAACATGTAGCTTTTAAAATATTGAATCTATTTACTTGTAACCATACTGGTTTTTATATCCAACGCACAATTGCTATTATGCTTATGTGATTTGCAGGGACGAGAGTGAATATGTTAAAGATGTTGTTAGGCAAGTTTGTGATGTATTGGACAAGAAAGATTTGTTTGTCGCTGAACACCCAGTAGGAGTGGATAATCGCGTGGAAAAAGTGATCACAATGTTGAAAAACTATCCGTCTAAAGATGTTGCCGTGGTAGGGATATGGGGAATGGGTGGCGCAGGCAAAACAACTATTGCCAAAACCATTTATAATCAAATGGGTCCCACTTTTGAGAGTAGAAGTTGCCTTTCAAACATCAGAGAAGTATGGGGTCAAGAAAAGGAAAAAGTGTGCTTACAAAACCAACTTCTTTCAGAAATATGCAAGACAACGCAAATGAAGATAAATAGTATTGAAGCAGGAATAATCACATTAAAGGATAGACTTCGCCATAAAAAGGCACTAGTTGTACTTGATGATGTGGATGAGTTATCCCAACTAAATGCATTAGCTGGGAGCTATGACTGGTTTGGTCAAGGAAGTAGAATAATTATTACAACTAGAGATAAACGTCTACTCCCTATGGGTTGTCCTGTTTACCCAATAGAGAATTTGGATGATAAGGAATCTATTGAACTTTTTAGTTGGCATGCATTCAAACACAAAAGTCCTAAAAAAGATTTCATTGAACTTTCAAAAAAAATAGTTGCATACTCTAGGGGACTTCCATTAGCTCTTGAGGTCCTTGGCTCTTATCTATCTACTAGTGACGACACAAAGGAATGGAATGAAGTATTGCAGAAACTTGAAAAAATTCCCAAGCAGGAGATACAAAAGAAGCTAAAAATAAGCTTTGATGGTTTAGATAGTTTGGAGAAAAAAATATTCCTTGATATATGTTGCTTCTTTATTGGGATGGATAGAAATGAAGTGGCACAAATATTAAATGGCTGCAAATTCTTTGCTGATACTGGAATCAAAACTCTTGTGGAGCGAAGCCTTGTAACCATTGATGAGAAGAACAAGCTTGGTATGCATGATTTGCTGCGTGACATGGGAAGAGCAATAATTCGTGAACAATCTCAAAATGAGCTTGGAAAGATGAGTAGGTTGTGGTTTCATGAGGATGCACTAGCAGTGTTATCAAAACACAAGGTAGGAACTCATTTTGTATCATAACACGGGTTTCTATTTTGCTTTTCGCAAACAAATAAAATAAGTGCACATTTCGATTTCAATATGCGTTAATTTTTGCAGGGAACAAAGGCTATTGAAGGAGTGTCTTTGATGTCAAAGGTTGGATCAAAGCATTTACTTCAGATAAAAGCATTTGAGAAGATGAAGAGACTCAGATTACTTCGTCTTGACAATGTACAACTTAGTGGAGATTACGAATACATCAGTAAAGATCTCAAATGGCTTTGCTGGCATCATTTTCCCAAGGAATACATTCCTAGCGACCTTTATCAAGAGGATTTAGTTGTCATTGACTTAAAGTACAGTAATCTCAGACGAGTGTGGAAGGAATCCCGGGTATGTAAATTAATAGCTAGTTTGTTGGCTTTTTGAGCAATAACTGCCCAAATAAAATTGAAAAATGAAAAATATTGTCAAACTGCTATATGATAGAAAGCCTAATTTCTCTGGGAAAAAAAAACCAAAATACTTCAAACCTAGTTTCTGTGATATAGTGTTTTTTTAAAATTTTTTTTCCCAGTATATGACTCAAAAGGCTGAGTTAATTTGTGGCGTTAGTTTCAAAGTTTATGGATTTATATTAAAGTGGGATTTGAGATGTGTAAATAAATTACTTTATTTTTTATTGGATTTTATATTTTACAACCTTCTTGATAGATTTTTTTTCCATAACTTCTGACTAAATCTTCCCTGCCCACTATTGAAGAATAAAGCTATTAGATTTTGTTTATTTCGCATTGCTTTACATGTCTTGCTATAGATCTAGATATTACCCCATTTTATTGAATTTTGTGTTACCTTGGCTTTTCTAGATCACGTATTCGATAGTATGTTTATCTCTTTCAGAGTTAATTTTCACTTGATTGAAAACAATGTTTTCACTTAGGGTTTTCAATCTAGATGAAGGATTTTACATATAATTGTTCCCTCATATTTTATTATTTATTTTTTTAAGATGTGTTTAGCTAATTTCCCTTTGAAATTAAATGTTTTTGTTATAGTTATTGGAGAGTTTGAAAATCCTCAATCTCAGCCACTCTCCTCACTTGGTGCAAACACCTGATTTTTTGAAACTACCAAATCTTGAAGAGTTAATCCTCAAAGATTGTCCAAGTTTGGAAACGATACATCATTCTATTGGGCTTCATCCTAAACTTCTTCGGCTAGATTTGGAGAATTGTATTGGCCTTCATAGTCTTCCAAGAAACATTTATGGATTAAAATGCTTAAAAGCTCTCATTCTTTCTGGTTGTGGGAATATTAAAAAGCTTGAGGAGGACATAGAACAAATGGAATCTTTGACAACTCTAATTGCTCCTACAGTAAAACAAGTGCCCTATTCTTTGGTGAGATTGAGAAGCATTTTATATCTATCTGTTTGTGGTCATGAAGGATTATCAAATCATGTGATTCCTTCTCTCTACCGGTCCTGGATGTCCCCAACAAATAATCCACTACGTCTTATTCCATCACATGAGGGCAAGCCATCATCAATTTTGTGGGATATACTAAACAGTATCCATAGTCCTTCAACAATCCCAAGTACTGTGCCAAAGCAACAAAGTCCTTTGTTGGAAGATGGATTGGAGATTTCTGATTCGTTGTGTGCCACAAATTGTATGGACATCTCGATACTTAAGAATTGCTTGGAACATCTTTTAATTAACATTGGAAAGAATTCTCAAGCCTTTTGTACACTTTCAGAGAAGATTTCACAGGTTCTCTCTCTGGATTTTTTAAAAAAGATTTCTACATGCATAATTATATAGTTAAATTAGAGGTTGTTTTTGTTACTATGCAGGAATTGAATCTTACAAAGGATAGTGATGACTGTATTCTTTCTGGTGATAATTACCCCTATTGGCTAACATTCAAAGGTGAAGGAACTTCTGTAAAATTTAAAGTGCCTCCAGTTAATAGTCATGATCATCTAAAAGGGATGACTATTTGCTGTGTATATATCCCCTTAAGAGATGTGGATAACAAGGCACGTGAATCTTGTATAATTTACTTAATGATCATAAATTATACAAAGGCAACCACTTTGCGCTACACAGAAGACAAACTGAAATCCTTGAAAGAAGCAGAGATGAAAGAAATAATATCAAATCTGGAACCTCATGACCAAGTGGAAGTGATAGCAGTTTTTGGGAATGGATTCACTGTGAAGAAAACAGTGGTCTACTTGATGTACAATGAATCAATTGATAAACAGATGGAGCCTTCAACATCTGAAGCTGTAAATTTAACTAGCACCAAACGCAATTGTGAGGAGGAGTATGAGGCACATCAATCTACCAGACCTAGAAAGGCAATGAAGATTTGAAATTTGGAAACTTTCTTCCATTTCTTTTTGCAACACTTTCTCTTGAGTGTTTTTCTAGCCATAACACCTTTTATCTAGTCAATATGTCATTTCAGAATTAAAACTGATCTATACATATGGTTGTACATAAATGATTATATTCTCCCATTTGCAGCTCTCTTTTTACAGGTAATGTGGGGTGATATCCCTTTTTCCTCTTTCCTTCCTATTCCTGGTAAAAATGAAGATAGAATTGTATTAAAAATATAAGAAATGAAATCAACTAGTCTTTGTTTAACTTGTTATTGAAGACTATTACTCTACAATGTTAAAAAACCTCCTAGAATAGTGGCTAGAAGCAGTGGCGGGGCCATATTGGATATGACATTAAAAATGGAGAAAGCAGAGTGTTTTGAGATATAGTTTGGAGCAAAAGCAAGAGACATGTCTGGAATTGCTGACGTCTTCTTGCTAAGGGGTCATCATCTGTGCTATAATCACTCTTTTATATAATGAGAGCTTAACAAACATAATTGCAAGATAAATCAAAAACAGACAATACTGTGTATATATATATATCTCTGTGACAAGTCTCAGAATTATAATACTAAGAGATGAAGAAGACCAGAAGCATTAACAAATAAGATGGAAAAATACGGGCTATAGGAAGGGAGTAGGGGAAACTCCAGAGTCATAGGGACAATGGCCAGAGGGAGAAGAGAAAAACAGCAGAGAGAAATCTCATAATTAGCTTCACTGCTACAGGCCCCCATATTTCCCCATCTAGATACCCCAGTGGATTGTTCCATGTTAGTCCACTCTTCATAAGCCCAATTATTGCATCTTGTGGTTTATTAGTCTCAGGTTCACAGTTATAAGCTTATTTTATGTTCAGCCCATTCATTACAATCTGGCAGCTATTCTCCTAGGGTAACATTACACATTTATTAGTTGCTAATGTGCTTGGCGCAGTGTCGTTTTATCCTATCTCTTTTTACTTACTTTGGGAAGATGTGACAAATTGTATGCATTCTATTCCGAGTCTTATAATTTGGGAAGGCAAGGAAACTCTCAAAAACATACCTATTCATCAGAGCACTACGCTATAGTTATCACATTAGTTACTGAGGTTCTGGCATTTAGAATCTAACCTTGCCAATTATTTATGACATGATTGAACTATGGTTATATGACCTCCTTTCTTTTCTTTCCAGCACAAGGTTTCGTTATTATCCGTGGAAGCCATGTTCACCACCTGCATCTTTGTATTTGTTCTCGATGTAGTCCATATAAACTATTGGGTTCTGACTGTTTTCTTCGGAGGATTGAAAGTGAGTATCTTTTTGAAACCTCTGTAACTACATGTTCGTGCTCATCACTTTCTTTCTTTATTAATAATTCAGCTGAGGATGAGCCTCGGAGCAATAATAAGGTTGCAGGCATGTATTCCTGGAGATCATAGGCTCAAATCTTCAAAACAGTCATCCATGGATAGGCATAGGCGCGATGGGACCACTCCCCTTTTGGTTCAGTATGAGCCCATCTTGAGGGTGAAGTCAAGAGCCAGGACGGACTCTATCGCTTCCCTGTTGGGACTTCTTGTTGATAGAGGACGATGATATGGTGTGTGATATATATAGTTTTAACTAGTTTTTCTCACTTTTTAGGATAAAGTTTATTATTGTTGCTGTACTTAGTACTATGAGATATAGTCTACAATGAGTATAACTTGCAAGGATATTGAGTGTAGGGACTGTTTGAATTGAAAGAGAAAATTATAAGGACAAAACGTACAATCAAACTAAAACAATTACATTATCATGAAACAACTATGAGGTCAATCAGACTATAAAGTTTTTCTATTCAGCCATGTAAAATAATACAAGTAAAGACTGGAAAATTTGTCAAAAAGACAAAGAAAAGGACCGAATCTGACAAAAATAATTATTTTGGTTGAGATTTTCATCTCATAAAATAAAAGTCAAGAAAAAATAAACTCAAAGTAATAGTGGAGTGAAAATTTTTCAGGAAAATTGGGGGGAAATCCCCCATTAAAAATTTTTATGGTGAAAATAACCAAAATCATTGTGTGTATAAAATCCACAAAGCATTTGTACTTTTTGCGCACAACAACCTATTACCTGCTCTTTACCAATAAAATTTTCAGCGGAAGTTTTTTTCCAATTTTCCTGATTTTTGTTTTCAAAGAATGAATTTGGAGGGTTAATATGTAAATTTTTTTAAAAAAATTTTCACTCAGGAATATTAGGCACTTGAATTTTTTTTTGTTGTGAATTTGCTTAGAAGTTTAAAATCATGACAATATTATTTTATACTGTTAAAAATGTTCAACAATAGATGTTAATTTTTTAATAGTAAGGAATAATATTCCTATGATTTTAAACAAACAAGGCAAATTTGTATTTAAAAAAATTTTCAGCTGTCCAGTATTTCTAAATAAAAACTTTCAGAATAAATTTGTTTCTTAATTTGTAACTCTCCCGCAACATCATTATATACAAGTTTAATGGTTAATATTCAAATCTGAATTGAAGAGCCCTGGATTAAAAAACCACAAGTTACATTTAATGTGCCCATGCGATAATAATCTATAAAATAAATTTTCCTCTTTGTATCGAAAAAAGCTCATATTCAAGACCATATGGTAATGGACTTTCATTGTATTTCAATCCATAAAATATTTGTTATAATTTATTTTTAATATATTGCGGAAAGAAATATATATAGTTATAAAGAAGTGTCTCCATTATTAGAAATTTTAAAAATTTATTCAAAAACAACGGTTTTCGTTGTTATTCTTGAAAAGGGTAAAAACTGAAAATAAAATGAATTGGGCTGTGTCCCTTTTCTCTCTCATCCTCATCATCTAAACACCGGCTCAGACGCCCCTATCCGCTTTTTGGCCTCTCTACCATCGATTCCCTGCACAAAGTCTTCTCTTTTATCCCTCTCCTCCTTCTTCTTCCTCTTCCTATGACACTCTCTCGATTGCCCTTTATTCACAAGCGGGCTACGCTTTTCTCCTCCGAGTAGTGGTGGAGCACAACCACATACGAGGGCCGTAGAATGTCTTGTTTATTGCCGCAGTTCAAGTGTCAGCCCGACACTTTCTCTATCCACTTCGGAGCTCATCCTCATGTTTCTCTTCTCTCCACTCATTCTCACTCGCACTCCCATCTCCGTAAGTTTTCCCTTGTCTTTCCCATTTGACTATGCTTTTGATTTCATTGCGATGTATGCTGAACTGGGTTTATCGTAGTTTTGGTTATTTTGTGAGGACTTAGTTTTCAGTAGTCTGCATTGCCTTTGTTGTCGATATGTGCTACAAAAATTTATTCAAAAGAACACAGTTTGTTCCTTTTCGAATCTTTGGGACTTAGATGTATATTATTCTTAGTCCCTGTCAGTGTTATTCACTGAATCGTGAAGTTGATATGCGACATATGGAACAAATTATCATTTTTGAGTTACCGTTGGGTGTTGTGACGATTATGCATTTGTGTTTAGTCTTTTCCCATTTTGACATCAACTGCCGTTTCAATTTGGCTGCAGAAGCCATTTTTCCTTCTTAATTTATCTGTGCTTCTTCAATGCTAAACAGATTTGTTGTGATGGATTGCCTTAATCATATTTCTAAGAAACTTAATCTTGTTAGGCAAGAGTCATCTTCAAGAATCATCAATAATTTAGTTAAATTTCTGAAGAAAAAATTGAAAATTGATGAAGAGTTTGAAAGAAAAAAGTGAAGTTTGTTTATTTCTATTGTCTATATTTTCTCAAGGATCATCAATAATTCAATAATCTAATTATATTTCTGAAGAAAAATGAAAAAAATTGAAGGGGTTGAAACTTGAAAAAGGAAAGCAAAGTCTTTTTATTTCTACTGATATAAGAAACCATCCAAGGAATTGGAAATTATGTATAGTCTTTGGCACATTAACGTTTGTCTTGTTTTAGAATTTCATCCCCTAATTCTGAATCTACTTGTGCTGGACACTACTATAATGAAATTGCTATTGTGGGCTTGATTCAAGTTACTTGTAGAGAAAATATGAGGAAAGCACAAACTAAAGTTATTTGCATCATAATTTAAATCTCACATAGTTGATATATGCTAATTAGGGAGAGTCATACGTAACTCATTTTACTAAGTTTGATGAAAACTGCAGAGTTACCTCTCTAGCTGTAGTGATGTGCTGAATTGCCATTGATTCTGTTATTTTATGGCTAGATTAGGTGGACACTTTCTTACCCCTATTGTTCTTTGACTGATTGAATTGATCTGATCAAATTGGTTCACTTGAGCATTTGTTCAGTTCCATTTTTTTGTATCCAGATAATACTTTCCTTGAAGAAACCTGGTCTTCTATAATTAAAGCGATATTTTCATTTGAACATCTTATTAACAATATTCATGCTTTTCTTCAAAACTACTCAAAAACTGCTAGCGTGAAGAGTGATTACATATATAGTTTAATTAGCGAGCCAGAAAGGTCCTCTATTTTGTTCTGTTTGTCGTAACAGTTAACGCAATTAGATTTTAACATTATGTTTTGTTGGAATTTGAAACATGCAGCAAAAAAAGCAGAAACTCTGTGTTTCCAGGCACATTGTCTTTTATCTGCCACGTCTCCTTCTACCTCATCATCAACTGGATCAGCAGCAATTCTCAGTTTGTAAAAGTTGGCATTAACTCCTATAGATGGTAATTCTGACTCAGTCACTGCAACCAGACCTTGGACATATATTGGTACAACTGCTCCACCCACAGAGATTAGATTTCACAATTATATTTTGACATAATAATTATATCAATTCCATGATTGCCTGATCAAGACATAATGTTACATGCGCTGAAAGGGATTTATTCCTAACAGTGTGCATTTGAAGTGTTTAATGGACAAACTAGGTCATCTGTGCATGCACACCTAATGATGTTGTGTTAGAACTATAATCTAATAATGTTGAGAAACATTAAATACCAATTTTTATTAATTTTTTTGGGCCATATGCAATTAAGTTTCACTATTTGCTGATTTTTTGGTAAATAAAATTTCTCTCGCTTTATCAATTGCTCCACTTTAGTTTGTGTTGACCAGTGTCGTTATGAAATGTGAACTTTTCTAGTTTTCTTATATGCAGGTGAGTTGATATTTAATTTGAGGGTTTTGACCAAGCTCTTAATTTTGGAGTGTTTCCAAAATGTTTAATTTTATATATATAACTTTCCAGTGGCTAATTAGGCTTGTGCTATTAATCAGGCAAGCTTTAAAGCAACTTTAGCTACAGAATCTCTTATTACTAGTGAAGAGGCTGTAATAGCTGCTGCTGCTTCTGAAGCTGTTGCCCTTGCTAAAGCAGCTTTGAAGGTTGCAAAGGATGCAGCTGTGCTAGCCAAAAATAGGTCCCCAGCAGAATCGGAGTATAAACCGTCCATTTCTTCCAAACCTGATAACTTACTTCTTAAATGGGTTCAACGTATGGAAGCTGAAGATGGTCTAGTGGGAGGGTCCATGCGCACTGAAGCAGAGACAATGCGAGACAGTAGCATAAATAATAATGAAGAGGAGTCTGATGATGTGGAACCAACAAATGAGGAACTTGAGCATTTGGAGGAACAGCTTTTTGGCACCATAGCTGTTAGGTCAAAGCGCCAAACTGAACAAAAAGCTAGAAGAGCCAGGGCAGCTGAGAGGGCTTCCACAAATATTCTATCTTCAAGTCTGGATCTTCTAGCCGTAAAAAACGTGCTGCTATGCAAGAAGTAGACTATACTGATCCATTACGATATTTAAGAGCAACAACTAGCAGTACTAAACTTCTTAGTCCAACTGAAGAACTTGAGCTATCTGAAGGAATACAGGTATGATTTGCATATAGTGATGTTCATGTCTATGATGCTAATCACTTAATATTTACCAGATAATCTTCATTGAGCTGTTTCCTTTTTTCCTTTTTTTAATGTATCTTGGGCATCTATGTTAGTTGTCATTCTAAAATTTTCTCCAATTGGCAGCAGCCTTTTTGAGATATTGTGTTTAGCACCATTCTTATTAGTTGCTTCAAATGATTTATTTTGGATGAGTAGCTATGCCCTAAAGCTGGTTAAATTTCTTCCTGGTTCTTTTAATTTTTGTTTTGCTGGCATTTAATGGAATTTAGAAATTGCTACCTCAAAATAAAGAAGATTTTGTTTGCTGCTAGAATTTTCTTAAAGTTCTCATAGCTATGTAATGTTCCCTCAAATTTTTTGCTTAATTGTAGTCACAGGTAGAGCTGTGCATTACTTCCTGTGTTATTAAGAATCGATGATACAGGGAAGCTTTTCAAGCTCTCTCTTTGGTCATCTGTTCTGTAACTGGGAGCAGAAAAAGGGGGGGGGTTTAAAAAAATAAAAATAATAATATTATTAATTTAATAATAATAGAGCTACTCGTGTAAATATATATCTCCATCATAAGATCTCGTGACTTTGTAGAGCTTTCAAGATTTGAAGTCCAAGAATCACTAGAGAACTAAAGTATCTTTTTCATTGTGGATTTAATTTCTCTATTCATTTTATAGCCTATCTTATTTTCCTTTTCTATGTTTCAGGACC